ACACTGTGTATACTTTAACTTACATTCATGTACAAATGTAAATCTATACATACGGTTTTTATTTCTACATATGTATATCTTTTATTTCATTTTAGTCTTACTTGATTTTATATTGCTATGTTTATACCTGCTTTTTGCTCTTTCACCTCTTTCTCAGGAGCTCTGTGACATTCGAATTTCGCTACGGGGATTAATAAAGTATTTCTGATTCTGATTGAAGAGCAGTGGCTGTAAACCAAAGCTGCAGCCTGTCAGACCAAAACAATGAGCTGAGACAAGCTAAATAGCTCTGGACTTGCAACAAGCAACAACTTTGACTCTACACATCCATTCTGAATATAAAATACTGACTGCAGCAGCTTTTGACATTTGATGAGTGCACTCACTATTTGATAGTGCCTGTGGTGAGGGCACTGATGATCCACTGCAGATCCAGAGTCTTGAAAGGGATCAGGACTAGACTGGTGTTGTTGTCCAGGTCTATGGCGCTCTCTGGATACATGACATGATGAGTTGATCTGGTTCCCACATCCTCCTCGAAGCCACTGGTGGGAGCCTGGTTCATTCTGCAGGGACAGTTATTAACAGTTATATTTTTATTTTCACCCACATTTTGATATTATGTTAATCCCCATTGTGTTTAAAACCTTTACGATACAGACACGAGAAATCAGCACTGTCCCTATTTTAAGAGACAAAAATTAAAGAAAGAATAAAAAAAAGCACATCCCCCATTTCACCACATTTCACACATCCAAACAGCAAACAAGCTGCGTTCAATTAAAGCCCAACAGTTCCTGTTTGGCAAGCCAGAGGAGGGATCCCCGTTATTATGTCCAAAAACACTCAATCTGCAGCAGTAATTGGTGGGAACATGGCAGTTGGTTTCCTGAGAGGAGGGAGGTGACATAGAGAGGAGACATCATGAGGCTGACCCCCCAAAGCCCCCCACCCCCCACATATCACCTGGTTGGGCACTCGGGTCTGAGCAATATTATCCTCCTCATTACTGACTCTGAGATGACAGCTATATAACAACTTGACATTTCCAGCCTGAGCCTGTCAGGACTCATAACAGCCTCATGCAAGAACTATGTTATTTCTAGGCCTTATTTTATAGTAACAGTTCTTTTAAATTTTGGTATCTTAATACGTAAATCTATAAATCACAGCCTCTTGAGTTTAAAGACATAACTATGAAGTTGCACATTGGGCAATAACTTTAAAATCCCGAAAGATGGCACAGTTAAATGAAATATAAAAACATATGATGATAAACTTTCCTCACTGTCTCTCTTGTGTGCAACTTATATACATATAATTACAGCTTTAGTTATTTTATTGATATTAATATAAAAAGTATTGTTTTCATCACTTATGTTAATTTCATGTAAAGTTTAATTAGTAATTTACTATCATAACATTTTTTACATACATTTGGTTGAAAAGATAATAATAATTTACATTTTGTTTTTAAATCTTTAACTAAACCTGCATTAATTTTTCGGCCAAAACAAAAAAGGTGTAAACATGATGCTGACATATGTTTATATGCCAAGTTATGGTTAACTTAATGGTATTAGCATGCAGACAACAGATTAGAGAAACTTAAGCATTTAAGTTGGAGCTGTGTGTGTTTCCGGCCACCTGATGAATTCAAGTGACTATCTTTTCACCCTGTTGTGCCCTTTGCCAACTCCTGAGAAAAAACACCTGGCTCTAAAGATAGAACGGGTGGCTCACAGGTCCCAAATTGTAGAAAACTGGCAAAGCAGGTGGTGCAGAAAAGAGAATTTAATATTGAACAGAATCACTGTCATTTGTGGTCCGTTGGCAGGTGAGAACAGGCAGAGGTGATCCAAAACTAAAAATGTAGGTAGCAAAAAGCGGCAAAAACTCAGGGATAGAACCAAATGGAAATGAAGGAACTGAGCAGGAATAAATAAAAGAGAAAAGAGAACTGAGGAAAACATAAGTGACAAAGTAGACTGGGAGCACAGGGAAACACAAGGGAGGCAGGGATAATTAAACACAAGTAAAACATATAAGGGCGGGACAGACAATCACTTAAGTGGGAAACCAGACAAAGACAGGATGTAAAGCCAAACTAAAACAGGGTTTTCAAAAAGTCTTTCCAGAGTCCTTATAATGGCAGATCCTAACAAAGATGCTCTTTTGTGTTCACCTATTTGCTCCTAACTGTGTCTGCCTGCTGCTCCTGGGAACAAATTAGATCAGAGCAGTGATAGTGAAACTAAATGGTAAAGCTGAGTGCTAAACCAAAGAGCTGGAAGTTGCTAAAACGCTCTGAGGAGAGCAGGCAAATTGTATATTTGTCTTTCATAGTCAAATAATGAAGACCTAATAAAACTAGAACAACCACCCTGAGGTTGCACGCTTCGCCAACCAGTCCAGTTTCAGTCTACATACTCATATATGGTAACCTTGACCTTTGACTTTTGAAATCTAATCAGTTCATCCAAGTCCAAGTGATTACTGGTCTAAATGTGACAAAATTCCCTGAAGGCAGACTTGAGATATCATCTTCAAGAGGCCAAAAACATGTTTTGTGAGGCCACTGTGACTTTTGACCACCCAAATCATGGCTCCGACCGAGCTGAAAATCTGGGAAAGAAAATATTGACAAGAGGTTTTTATGGTGCAGTATCTCAGCAGAAAAGAACAGATTTTGACAGGCCTACATTCGTGGGGTTCCTCCCTTAACGGCAGCTACATCATCTGGGGATTTAAGAATTGCTCTGCAAATGGATCCTTTACCATCCAGAGCAAATGAAAAATGGCAGAGGACGCCATACCACCTATCAAACAGTGCGATGTGAGGAATTTTTCACTACTGCAACACATTTAGAGGCAGACTTGAGTCACATCTTCAAGAGGCAAAACAATGGTTGTGAGGTCACAGTGTCTTTGACCTTTGACCTACTAATTCTAATCCAGTCATCCTTAAGTCCAACTGTACATTTCTACCAAATTTGAAGAAATTCCCTCAAGATGTTCCAGAAATATCACGTTCAAAATGTCAAAAATGCGATTCGTAAGGTCACAGTGATCCCACATTTCTAATCAGTTCCTTCGTGAATCCAAGTGAATGCTTTTACTAAATTGGAAAAAACTCTGTCACAGTGTTCTTGAGATATAAAGTTGACAAAAAAACTGAATATTGAATTGATAATAAATTCTTACAGTAACACGAGTAAAGGATAATTCACAACTGTACTGCAACAGTTACCAACTGCAATGCTACAGCACTGAAATGGATGGAAGGCCTGTTAGTCCCAGAGAAAACAAGTGTTGTGCTACCAGCAGTAAAGCTGCTGCATCAGATGTGTCTGTGGTAATTATGGACACAACACTGATTGTTATGATATTAGATCATGAGTGGTAGAATTGTGCGAGAGGGGGCAGTTCTTTACAGAATGGAATATATTGTGCATCTTATACTGCCACATCTACAGCACGCTTCACAGCAGATGTGGAGAGAAGGGTGAAAAAGAGCAATTGTTCTTGCTATTAACAAGTAATAAGAACTGTTTCTTCTGTCACCTTTCCAGGGAAGTGCAGCCAGCTTTTTGTTACTGCTGCATGCCGCTTTGCAAGATGAGCACGCTCGTCGAAACCAAACAGATTCATGGCCGCGACCGAGCTGAAAGTGCAATGTCTGGGAGAAGAAAATATTGGCAAGAGGTTTTTATGGTGCAGTATCTCAGCAGAAAAGAACAGATTTTGACAGGCCTACATTGGTGGGGTTCCTCCCTTAATGGCAGCTACATCATCTGGGGATTTAAGAATTGCTCAGCAAATGGATCCTCACCATCCAGAGCAAATGAAAAAGTATGGCAGCGAGGGCAGAGGAACGCCACGCCACCTATCAAACAGTGCGATGTGAGGAGTTTGTCACTGCACCCTATCTCTGCAATTGCATATGTATCATAAAGATCCTTACCTCACAAGGCACTCCCCTACATTCTCATTCATAACAGGCATATGTCAGTAATCAAATTCCACAATTATGTAAGTGTGCAACTACAGGAATCTTTGTCGAGTGTTCTCCTCAACTCATGCAACACCAATAGACTTTGCTGTCTTCTTCTATTGACATATTTCAGTTTTCCTCAACTGATCAACCTTCATCCTCATTTTACATCCAGGTAACACACAGCAAAGCATTGCTCTGCTGTTGAGAACGGAACTGACACTGAACTTTATTTTTTGTTACTCACTCACTCGAAAGTTTCTCTCTAAGTTGTATAAGACTATATGGTTGGCTCTTGCCATCACCCACTGCAGGGGGCGATGCTACAATAAGGCAAGTATGTAAGGGCACTCGAGAAGTTAAGTTGTTAAGTGGATTCAGTGAGCCGCACATTCACTTAATCTTGTGGGGGCGTGTGGTGTCAACCGCTCTAAGGAGGCGAATATTTCAGATTGGTCTAATCAATATTCAGCTTCTGCTCCAGCTACCGCCCCTTGGCAATGGAAATTTGTACCAGATGGACTTGAAACAAACTGGAGCAGATGTACTGAGCGCCTGAAAAGCCCATTTCTCCAACACAATGCTCTGCCCTGGGCTTTTTACCTGGAATACACAAAAAGATGTAGGTAACAAAGGTGCCAGGTGAAAGTTTATAAGAGATTTAAGCAGAATAATAACAATCAATATTTTTGTGCATGTCAAATGTCAGATTTGGCTGTGATTCTCTGTGATAATAGATTTGCAAAATCCTATTAGAGGGAGACAAGAACAAGTATGTAACCCTCCCTCTCTCTGGAGAAAGCATGAAGAAAGATGACTCACTTTCAGTGGAAGAATGAAATTTGGAGTGCAGGCCCTTTTTGCATATGACAGATATCATGACTAGTGATTTATAGCAGAACTTTATGGGCCCTGCAAGTATTAAGTACTAGCACTTTAAGCATCAATCAACTTCATTCAATGTAAGTGACTCTTAAAGCTCAGATATAAAGTCGAGTTCATAGTGCTACAGCGCATTCGATTCCCGAGTTGAAGCATTTCACCACAAACAGGAGAATTACTTTGTTAGAATTTTCCGATGCAGTTTGACCACAGAGGCACTTTTGACCACCAAGAGGCTGCATCAGATCAGATGGACTGCACCACTAAACAAACATCAGTGACTTCAACTCAGACAGAAAACTAGAAACACCCATCAATGAATCATCACTGCTGCAGATGATTTAACATTTAGATTTTAAATGACATTTTTATGTTTCAGTTTCGAGTCATTCTTGTGCGAGCTGGTGTAAAGATCAGAAGCACTTGTGTCAGATATTGATCTTTGTGTCAAGTGTCTCTGTTAGTTTCCATCATATATAGTATTATTCAAAATTATGCATGTTTATAAACTGATATCTTTGAGTGCGTACAATTTGGTGCAGCTTCATTGATTTTAAGGGGATTGCGGCGTAGAAATAATATTTTCTGGTGGGCCTGCACTAACGTGGGTGGGCCAACTTTACTACAAAAGGTACTTATAAAAACTTAAAAGTAGAAATAGGGCAAACGTAGACAAACTTAAAAAAAAGC